ATAAACATAACACAGGAGCTTCAGCAAAATCCCCGGAGGCCATATTTTTTCTCAACGACCATACAGCCCAGCATGTAGTGCGGATGAATGGACACACACACACGCACACTCGCAGGGTCACAGCGTTGATGGTGTGTGTAACAGAGCAACATTTACGGTGAAGCAGCTGCCTGGATGGAGTGATGTGAAAAACGAATCATCTTCTTTTGTCCTCCTTCTCCTCCTCCTCCTCCTCCTCCTCCTCTTCTCATTATTCAGCCATACGACTTGCTGATGCGACACATTGTCTAAATGGGGCCATTAGAGTGCTGGGAGTCAGACTCTTTGAATGTGTGTATGTGAATGTGTAAGGATGTGTTAGTGGAACTTCCCCTGGTGGCTTTAACCGCAAAGCATGAGAAGGAGAGGAGAGGAGAGGGGAGGAGAGGAGGGGAGAGGAGAGGAGAGGAGAGGAGATGAAGAAGATATTGGAGTAGAGAAAAGATGGGGAGTGGATGACAGTGGGAAAGAAAAGAAAGTGGAGGACAGAAGAAGAGAAAAAATAAAGATACTAAAGACAAAAAGAGGGCTAGAATAACACAAGAGAAAGAAAAAAGATTCAGAGGAAGAAAAAACAGGTAGAGGGAAAGAAAGGGAGAAAGTGGAAGATAGATGGAGGCTGAGCACAAAAAGAAATTAGAAAATGAGAGCAGTCTAGAGAAAGAAAACCAAGATTTGAACAATGGAAATGACACAGTTGTAGCCTGGAAGAAGAAATAAGAGCAGTTTGAAATCAAACAACTGTAGCAAGAAAGAAATAGAAATTAAAAATAAGAAAGTCATGAAAACTAATTACAAAAAAGGGAAAGAGGGAAAAGTGAGGAGAAATAAAGAACATTCAATGCTTGTCCAAATCCAGCATTTTTAGTTGTGCCTCTGTAACTTATTAGCACTGAGAAAAAGATCTGCACTGTACCTGTCAGGTTACAGTTAGAGGAAGATGAACAGGAGAAGAAAAAAGAAATAAGAGAAAGAGGAAGTGTGCAAGGTGAAATGATAAAGGGTGGGACAAGTGGGAAGATAAAAACAAAAACGATTTTTAAAAAGGGAAGGATGATTAAGATGGCAAAGAAAATGAGAAAAATGAGG